CACTGCGCCACCTCGGCTCCTCAATAACATTTCATTGTTATTGAGGAGCCGAGGTGGCGCAGTGGTTAAATGCAGCACTGTAGGCTACTTCAGCTGACTGCAGTTCTGCAGTTCGGCTGTTCAAATCTCACCGGCTCAGGGTTGACTCAGCCTTCCATCCTTCCGAGGTGGGTAAAATGAGAACCCGGATTGTTGTTGGGGGCAATATGCTGACTCTGTAAACCGCTTAGAGAGGGCTGAAATCCCTATGAAGCGGTATATAAGTCTAACTGCTATTGCTATTGCTAAACATTTCTCCAAAGCTATGAAACAGGGAGAGACTAACCAACCTCCACACCCTCCCTTGGAGGAGGAGTCACTGTTTCATCCTATACAGCCTGAATTATCACCTCCAGCTATTGAGGCAAGACAGGATTAGTCACCAGATAGTGCCACTGAGCCGCAAAGCTTTCAAGCAGCAGACTGGGCCGGATCTTACTCCCTTCTCCTGCTTAGTGACGCCAGGATTGGAACCAGCCTCTACTGCCAGATGCTCAGTGCCTGAGGCAACCTTCACCCCTACTTCAGCAGGCCTTCGCTCAGGGTAAAGCCAGGGGGCTGGCCTACCCCAAGATATACGTGACCTCATTTCTGAGGCCATATCACAGGGGATAGTGACAGGATTGCAACAGAGAGGCCAGTTTGATAGCCTACATGCACAAGCCTGGGAGAACTTGGCACCCTTGCAGGGGCCTCCTTCTTCATATCCTTTCCTTCGCAGCAAAGACTCGCTCATGGGAGAGGAAGAGCCAGGTGACAAGAAGTTTTCAGATGACGAAAGTCTTGTTCCAGACTGGCCTACTTTCACAGACCTCTTCCAGCCTGCCTTGTTCAAGTCATTCCTTTACAAGGCCAAAACAACAGCCAACATGGGAGTGACAGATGCCCCACCTGAGACATCCCTGAGCCTGGATCCTACTGAATGGCTGTTCTCTGAACCATTTCCTGAACAGGAGGGGACCCCATCTCCTAAACTGTTTGTGGATGTCATTCAGCAGCAATGGAACCAATCTGGTTCCTTGGCAGTGCCTAGTAGCAATGATAGGAGATTCTATGGCTCTGGCCCAGACCTTGAGGAGTTCCTGCAGCTTCTGGCAGTAGACACCCCTGTAACTACTTTAGCCTCCTCTGCTATTCTCCCCTCAGATGTAACAGAGGGTTTAAAGGCAGAGGACCATAAGATGGAGATGACCCTCTGCAAAATGCATCAGGAGGTAGCCTGGGCAATAAGGGCAGCTACGGCTAGGTCCTTTTTCAATAGGACTTCCCTGGTATTGCTTCACCAATTACAGTCAAGGGTACCACCTGAAGACACCCAGCTGTACCAAGATATAAACAAGTTGGTAGCAGCAACAGAGTTTTCTTCCGACACAACCCTCAATGCAGCTAGGTTTGCAACCAGGGCCATGGCATCCAATGTAACATCCAGTCACCTCCTTTGGCTCCACCACTGGCAGGCAGACATGCGATCCACGTGGCGCCTAGCTTCAGCCCCCTTTAAAGGAGGCAATCTCTTTGGAGAGTCACTGGACCCTATTCTAGTGGAAACTAGGGATAAAAAGAAGGTGCTGCCATACATACATAGGCAAGCGGACTGCCAGGCTCCACCTTATTTTTGACAGCTTTAACGCCCCTCAATACCAGCAGGCTTATCCCAAGGTAGCGACCGCCCACAGGACAAGTCTGGGTTCCGTGACAGAGGCAGGCAGCAACCTCAGGCCAGACAGCCATTTCGAGGGTCCAGTAACCGGTCCTTTTGCAGGATGAAGTGACTCTCAGGCCATTNCTGGGTGGACATGGCCATGGTGGGTGTTGCCTACTCGGCCTCCTGCACCACATTGGAGGGTGTTTTTGCCCTCCCCAGGCTCTGGAGGCTTTCCTCGAGGCTCTGGGAGGGCGAAAACAGCCTCTCTTGGGCTCTGGAGGCCCTCTGGAAACAGACCCATTTTCGGACTTCTGGAACTTCTGGGAAGCCTGTTTTTCGCTGTCCAAGAACCTCCATGTGGGCCCTGCACTTACCTGGTATCCAAAACGGGCCACATGGAGACTACTGGGAGGGTCAGAGGAGGGTGTGCAAGGCCATCCAGTTCTTTCAACTACTGGTTCAGCAAAACAGATGTAAAATTAGGATCCAGTTCGCCCAAATGAGTCCAAACCGGCTGAATCCCACCCCAACATATGAACTGGCATACTTTGAGAGATGCCCATCAGATGATCTCAAAATTCTGGATTGTCCACCAGTCAGAAATGGTTGATCGCTGTATGATATCCACATTTAATTACATTCCAATAGAAGATATTCAAGGGAGGGACCCTTGGTTATTTTTCTCAATACATCCCCCCCACCCCGAGGTAGAATGATACTTTTCTTTTAAGTTTTCTCAATTGCTTCAGAAATTTTGTTGAGCAACACTCATAGGTGTCTGCAAGCCAAAAAAAAAAAGTCAAGATAGCGATGCAATTCAGATTTCAATAAAGGGGTAGGGCTTTTATTACGTGTCGAGATCAAAAAGTCAAGTGCAGTTGCCATCTTGACTTTTTGGACATTCTCCTGTAGACATCCTACCAACAATTCTCATCCATGGAAATCATTCTGGCAACATCTCTTATGAAGTATTTAATATGCTTTCTTAGTATTTAACAACTTCTCCCTCTCAAAATATATGAAACTGAACAATTTGTTAATTCAGCCATTTTCAATTTGGCACTCTCAGTTGTGCCAACTTCCAGAATTCCCAGCCATTTGCGATCCGTAGTTCCATATATTTGGATAGCTCCAAAATGCCAGAGGAAGCAAATATGTTTTGTTTGAAATAAAAGAGCCACTAAGTTCTTGATTGCAATACCACTTTTTATTGCTTTCATGGCAAATCTTACTTCCCAGTAATGTTTAATAAATGTTATGTATCTGATTTAATTTATTAGTATATCTAGCTTAGTTTCTTATTCTCCAGCTACTTAATCTTGCATTTCCAGATCTTCTGCGCACGAAAGAATGCTAAATCTACATCATAGATGGTGGCTTGTATGTTAGCCAGAAAATTCTTGTATTTACTGTTGTATTTATGCTTTGCTTGAGACTAGCTGATTCTGGAAAGCAAAGGTAGATACATCTCTGGCTTTATTTATATCATTGTTTCCAAACATACAATAGGATAACTGGTGAGTTGTGGCTTGGGAGACAGGTAGATTGAAATGTCCAGTTTCTTCCAAGATCTGTTTTCCTCTCTGAGACTTTTCTTCCTTCAAATCCAGTAAGAAGTAAGATGAAAACAGAAAGAACATAAAATAGAGACAGAAGAAGAAAATAACACAGTGCTGAGTGATTCTTTTCAGATTCAGATTCTTTGGAAGTAAACCGCTTCAAACTCAATTGTAGAAAATACGACTTCAGCAATGGAGTGGTCAACGCCTGGAATGCTCTACCCGACTCCGTTGTTACATCCTCTAACTCCCACAGCTTCAACCTCAAACTGTCTACTGTGGATCTCACCCCACTCCTAAGAGGTCCGTAAGGGGGCGTACATAAGCACACCAGAGTGCCTACCATCCCTGTCCTACTGTCCCCATTTATTTGTACTCATTTCCTTTGTTCATGTCCATGTTTATACGTATAC